GCACTTGCACGCGCACACACTCACGGGCACACACACTCGGGCGGGCGGGCGGGAGGAGCGGTGCAGAGAGGAGGCGCTGCAGGAGGGCGACTGGAGCCTGGCACCCTGGGGAGCTGGTGGGAGAGAGAAAGATGGTGAGAGAGCAGGGGAGAGGGGAGAGGGCCTGGGGAGAAGGCCGGGTGGGATGCAGGGGGAGTGGGAGGCGGAGGGGTGCTGGTTTCTGGCTGGAAAGAGCTGAAATGCAGATCAGACCCTGCTGCCAACGTCCTCTGGCCTCAGTTTCCCCGCCTGTCCGTCACTGCTGCTGTGGCTGCTCAGCCGCCAGCTACCCCATGGTGCGTGGAGGCCCCAGTTCTGGAACCCCACATTCTCCCCTCTCCACCTGCCTCCACTGAGCGCTCCTGGGCAGGCCCAGCTCCCCCTCCCATTGGCCTGGGGTCCCCCAGCCTCCTCTGCTCTCTCCCTCCACGGCAAACGCTGGGGTTCAGCCTTCCCACGGGAGGATCTCCAGGCCTTGGGCCTTGCTGAGGGGACGGGGCCCTTCCGGTCCTCTATACTGGGCCTGTGTGAAGGGACAATGGGCAGCCCCTCCCCGTGCCTGGCCCCTTTCCAAGGTGGCGGCGGGGTCTCCCTATGTCGCCCGCCCCCGCCCCCCCTCCAGGATGCCTCCTACGGAAGCACAGAGAATGGGGGCCCTTCCGTGGGAGGCCGGCGGCAGAAGCCTCAGCTGCCAGAAGGCTTGGCCCGGAAACCCCAGGAGCCAAGGACAAGTTGACCTTGACCTCAGTTCTCAACAAAGAGCAGACAGAGAGAAGCTGAGCGGCCACCACACGCCCCCTTGGGCCTCCCTGGTGTGGACAGCCTCTGTCTGTAGAGCACCTTGGAAAGGTCTCACAGGGACCCTGTGACCAGGGTTCGAAGCCAAAAGCCAGCGCCTTTAAAGCGCCAATAATAGTGTACAGTGTTTCCCAAACTTGGTTGGTCACGGAACCCTTGATTTATGGCAAGCTGTTAGGAGTGCTCTGAGGAACAGTGAGGGGAGTGCTGCTAAAGGAAGCATTCCCCAGGACTTCTGACCAGCTCCCCCCTTTAAAGGAGGCCCCAGGCCACGGCAGATTGTGCGGCCCTGAGCCCCGCTTCCTGCCACTCCCCGGGCGCTGGGCCCTGGCCAGAGGGGAGGCCTAGGAACCTGGGGCACCTAGAAAGGAAGGGTGGCTTCCTTCCCCCGGGGCAGAGGGTCTGACAATGCAGCAGGCGGGGCTGGGGCATGGGCTTTGTCAGAGCCCTGGCAGGTGCTGGCCGAGCCTGCAGGGCCAGCTGCCCACCCGCTGCCCACCCATCCCCTTGTGTGGAATCCCCGCTGCCTCCAGCCAGTTCCAGGACTTCGGGACCTGCCGCACCCCCTTGTCCAGGAAGTCATTGGTTACCTGGCAGAGACAGGCCCCCCCCCCACCCCCAGACCACGGCTGCACACTCAGGGGCTGGCCTGCAGGCGGCACAGGTGCTGAGCTGGGGGGCTGGCCCGGT